AGAAAATTATTAAAAACATTATTCAGTTATTTCTCATTTTTCTTTTTTAAATTATGCAGTATCCGTTGAATGCAGTATCCTTATTTCAGCATGTCTTTAAGTGTAAATTAAGCTTTCTTTTCCTTCACATCATTATTTACGCGGCATAAGACTGAAAATTATAATATGAAGCAGGAATTAGGTATAACATACCTAAATAATTATAGAAACGTAGTTCGTTAGTTTGCTTTAATTTTGATAAACAAAAATTAACTCAATGTTAGCTCAGTGTTTTTGTACGATTTACATACAACATTTGTCACCTATTAAACAGGCATATAATAAAAAGAGAAAATCAAATTTAAATACATAGTTTTGTTTATAGATGTAAGAATCATAGCATTTCCTTAATTTTAATTACTTATTTTAGCAAAGATTTTTGAAAGACTTAATAGTATAATTTAAGAAAAAAAAAATGAAATTGTTTATACTACATCTAGATCTTTTGCGCGAAAATTAAGATACACACGAGTGTTTAAAAATGAGCCGGATACATATGTCACCTCATGCACGCTGACACTCTTGAGACCACTCCACAATTCAAGATAAGGAAATGCGTAAATGAAATTTTAAGAATTGATATTGATTGATAGGTTGCGGCTCTTCTATAAAACCGTCGGGAAGCGGAGCGAAATGCTAACGATAAAATGATTTCTGCGATTTCTTCTTAAGAGACTATGAAGTGGTTCTTCTTGAGACATTTAGGACAATTTATCTTAAATTCAAGGGATCATTTTTTTATTCAGAAATATGCTGTCAGAAACATAAGTCTAGAAAACTTGAAAAATTTAAGTTGGTAAATTATTAGGACTTTGAATGAGAGAATTTACGATTTTGGCTGTATTTAAAAAAGATATCATCTTAGTTTTAGAAATTTTGAATAGAATCTCATATTTACAATAGGTAGACCAGGAACCTTTATGCAATATAAAAATGAGATTACAAGAAAACAGGAGACAGATATCAGTGTATTTCTTCTTTTAATAGTTTCAATAAATTGAAAATAACGTAGCAACAATTTTAAATCCTTCTGATGTATTCATTGTTCTATGCATAAATTCATAAACTTTGCTTAGTTAAAGTTATTAAAAATAAATTTTTGAAGTTATTCTCCAAAAAGTATAACAATGATAAACTTGAAATTTCGGTTTGAATATATTCTCAAAAACAATGTCTATATCTTCGATCGATTCGAAGTCTTAGATGACACACCCTGTTCGGATAATAGAACAGTGACTAATTTAAAGTGCTAGATTCCATCTTTTCTAGATAATAAAAGATTCATATAATCGAGATTCTACTGTATTTTGAATACGTTGAAAAGTAATTCCTATAATATCTGCAGTTTTATTTTGTTCATTCTTATCTTGATTATTAGATTTTACGACCGAATGTATACATATATTTGTCGAATCATAATAATGTTTCCGAATTCTATTTGCAGCTCAATCCTGATGTCAATGCTTTCCAACGAAAATTCGTTAATGAAGTGCGTCGCTGCGATGAAATGGAACGTAAATTACGGTATTTGGAGAAAGAGATTAAAAAAGACGGTATCCCCATGCTTGATACCGGAGAAAACCCAGAAGCCCCGCAGCCTCGGGAAATGATAGATCTCGAAGCAACGTTTGAGAAACTGGAGAATGAGCTGCGAGAAGTGAATCAGAATGCAGAAGCTCTCAAACGAAATTTCTTGGAGCTAACTGAATTAAAGCATATACTTAGGAAGACACAAGTTTTCTTCGACGAGGTAGGAATGATTCCCTCAAACCTATTTTTATGACATAACTGAAAAATGTTTACTTTTTGTCTTCTCTAATTTATATAATATAATAATCAACGCTGCTTTTAATATAATAAACAAATATCATACGACTACACAGATGTAACAAAAACACAGTATTTCTTATGACATAGACTATATGTTAAGCGAGTTGTTAAAAAGATGTAAATACTTCTTCATCTCTTCTCTTGAATTATGAAATATTTTTTCCGAAATTGAAATGATGAACAAATCGCTGTTTGATACTGAATATACAATGTATATTTCTATAGGATGTTCGGAAACATAAACGTGCATATCTATGTTA